CTAGAAAAAGTCCATAATTACTCGATTGTTGCCCTAATATCGGTCTTTTTTGGCTCCAAAATTTTAAACTTCTTTCAAAAAGGAAATATCATATGCACATATATATTGTATATTGTATCCTTTAACTTTTTTGTACAACCGGAAGAAAAGAGATTCTACATGAAAAAATAAATCGAAAATATAAAATAAATATTTTTCAAACAAAGCTTTGTTTTTGAAAAAAAAAACAATTTTGGATATTCGTCAGGTACATATGCACTTTATGAAATCTGAATTCAACAAATCTGAAAATTGTACGCTATCCCTGTATCCGTTTGTTTTTATAAGCATTGCTAATATCAACAGTTTCGAGGATATACAATATGACAAGATAAAATTACTTTTCAAGAATATTATTTTATTAATTTCAAAAATGTTCGAAATGTTGTTTATACACACTTGCGCTCTTCACGTTAAAGAACAAATATTTTAATATATATAGCATGTTTTTTTATATATTTAAATCTCTATATTTTTTTTTACATTTCTGATTATTTGATGAAATCGATTATTCGGTTATCGGCTAAAATTTTTTGTAAGTTGCTCAGAGCCATGTCCTTGACATATGTCAAGGTCATTGAAATCGGCGAGATCGGCGCTAATATCCAGGTTTACCAAAAAAATATATATTTTGCAAGCTTTATGGTCTTTCAATAAATTGTTTGTCGGAATGTCGATGATTAGAAGATATCGATATCATAATTATTGATAATTATTGATAATTAACTACGGCAGAAATATTATCGCCGCATTTAGCGCAAAAATTATGTCCGAATATTTCCGATTGTTGTATGTATGTACATAAATTGATAGTAGGATTGAGACTGAGAATTTTTATCGATAAAGATAAACTCTCTAATAGAATTGATATCAAAGAGTATTGCTATGACAATATTTATTAATACAAATACGTGCAGAGATAGTGAGATCTGTTGAATCTAGATATAATTAAGTATACATGTACTTAACGAATATTAAAAGTCTTTTTTCCGAAAACGAAGCCTTGTATGAAAAAAATTTATTCTATATTTTCAACTTATATTTTCATGTAAAATTATCTTCTTCTTTTTTCGGTTATATAAATTGCGAAACATTCTGTATATACAAGGTGTCCCACCAAAAGTGACCACCCTCTTTTATCTTTTAAATTAAAAGAGCTAGATCGTAACAAATATATATCAAATTAAATGGTTCAAACTAAACTTTATTGTGAGCATAGTGGTTGCTTCCAAAAGCTATCGGTGTTAAGGAACATTTCAAATGAAAAGTGAACATTTAATTCACATTTATTATAAAAAAATTATGCATACCTCTCCGTTCGTTAACACAGATAGCTTTTGGAAGCAATCAATATGCTCACAATAGAGTTCAGTTTGAACCATTTAATTTGATATACAGGGTGGTTCTCGTAACGGTCGCCACGATTTTTAAGGCACTTACAATAATCTGACATAAAAAAGTCATAAACAGAAATTTATCAGTTTCTAACCGGCAACAAATTGCAATAATAAAAATTGACCAAACATTTTTTTT